GGAGGGAGGGAGAGAGAGAGAGAGAGAGAGAGAGAGAGAGAGAGAGAGAGAGAGAGAGACAAAGAAAGGGGAAGAGAGACGAGAGTGGGAAAGGGTTTTTTATAATGGATAAACATCTGATGGGATCATGGGAGGTATTTATCTGTTTTAAACAGAATAATTGTCATGACAAGTGGCTAATGAGGCTCAAGCAAATGTACACACTTGTAGTATTTATAGTTGAATGGCTTCCATCTAGTGGTTTGGAAGCTAGCCTCATTCATATCATTAGCATCAAACAGAATTATTAAAATGTCGTCATTATTAGGTTTGAGGTTCCTAACTGTGAGATATGGTATATTCGCTTTGCAATGGACAAGAAGATGAAAGTAAATAAAATAAAATTTTTATTTTAATACACTTAATGGGGATCCCAGTGATAGACAGATCACTAGAAAAGTGTCTTAATATACATGTACATGTACATGAACTTGCCAAAGCAAGACAGACAAGACATACACTGTATTATACATGATATCAATGAAAGGTAAACAAACAAGAAACAAAACACATGTATGTAAAGTTTAAAGTACAGCAATTGGTGCGGTGAAGTATGGACTATCTTTTCTGTCTTAAGCCAGTCCAGTTACAAGTTCTCCATCGGGATTAGCGCGACGAGATTCCCTTCGTCTTCTTCTGTAGGTGCGCTGCTTGAAATGATTTCTTAGTAATTTAAACTGCTGCTTAATGAGACCCAAACGGTACACCATTTCATAAAGTCCGAAAAGCACAATATTTATATAAACCGACTCCTCTTCTTTCGATATTCCAGTGGATAAAGAAATGGTGATGAGCGTGCATAGAACCTGGAACATCATAATGCTATTGAAGACCAAACTTGTGAGAAGGTAATAGACAAAGTCTGTCATTCTTTGTCCATTGTTTGGTAGTACATCGTATGCGATGAATCTTTGAACAATCAAATAGATGAAAAAAAGGAGCACAGGTGGAATTATTATGACCTTGAAAATCCAATCAAAATGTATAGCATAAGTGTTATAAATGTAATCAAACAGCCATATCTCATATAATATGCTTGGTAACAAAGTGATCTTAGAAGAGCCCCAGAAAACTAACTTGACAAATCCTTTCTTGATGACATCCCAAATGAGTAAGGCTGTGATGACTGTTTCTGATATCCAAATGCTGACACAAGATATATCAGAATATCTTGTGACTCCATGACAGATATAGCCAAAGTCATCTTCTTTTGGCTGACATAGGATGAGGTTTTTTGCTCAGGGAAAACAGTTGCTGCCATTCTGTAAATTGACTGGGTGAGAAGAAGAAGGAGGAAGATTTCTCTTACACGAGCCATTTTGCTGTTTACCGTTTACTTAGTCTAGCCTCTCCCTTCCTGACATTCTGGCCAATGGCCACAGTTTTTTTAAGTTGTGTAAACTGTTCTATCAATTCACACTGCACCACGCTAGGAACAGAAGTGTCTGTGTTTACATGTTACTCATTTCAAATTTTCATTCCAATATGCTCTAATCATAGATATTACAGTATATTAGAGTATATCTATGGTTCCAATCCATACTAATCTTGCCATGCCTCTTATGCCTATATCTATAATATCTATGCTTATGCAGAAGGTTGTAGCCACATTAATTTCATACTGGTTGGGGCTAGCAAGACTAACTGGTTTCCTCTGCTTGTGATTACTATTAAAAATTACTGAAAAATGTGCATGTAAGATTCAATAGTCAAATTTTTCCTACAACAAAAGCACTAAAAGTAGCAACAGCAAAAGTAGCGGCAATCAGTCATCAGTGCAGTAAAGTATGAAGTTTTTCTGGCTTGTAAAGTATCTGTTATTACTGCACATGTTAAAATTTACTTAATATTTTACATTACAACACAAAACATGCATGTACAGTACATTATCTCAAAAAACAAAACACATACTGTAAGGTTTAATTATTCAATGGACCTTATGCAACGAACGGTCTAATTAACGCGCACCTCCCAACTGGATGAAAATGGCGGATTTTGTGGTGAACAGGCAGGCTGAACATTTTCCTCTTTTCATCAAGTCATCCTTACTGTAGGAGCTACTTTGAGCTCTCTTTTTGTTTCATCAGACTCTATTTATTTCTCCTGTAAGCTCTTTGGTTGTTGTGTTGGCTTTTAAAGCAGTTTTTTATAGGCCTCATTCTCATCCTTTGCCAATTCCCGTTTTGGTAAATTTCGCTTTCAGGAGCCAAGGCGCTTGCCCCTCCAGTGCTATGAAGACAGAAGTGTATTCACCTGAGTCCTATGACTAATGTCTATCATCAGAGTTAGTTTCAGTCCATCAGGACCAGGTACGGTGGAATAACTCACTCAGTTTTCATGTTGCAGCTGGAGTGTGGATGATCATGACCATCTTTTCACTTCTTAA